TACTCCCCGGCGCTGAGCCTGAAGGGAGGTTTTCTGAGCTAGATCCTTAGAGTCTGAGGCGAATAAATTACTCCCCGGCGCTGAGCCTGAGGGGAGGTTTGCTAAGCCGGACACTTAGAGTCTGAGGCGAAGAAATTACTCCCCGGCGCTGAGCCTGAGGGGAGGTTTGCTGAGCCGGACACTTAGAGTCCGAGGCGAATAAATTACTCCCCGGCGCTGAGCCTGAGGGGAGGTTTGCTGAGCGGGACACTTAGAGTCCGAGGTGAATAAATTACTCCCCGGCGCTGAGCTTGAGGAGAGGTTTGCTGAGCCGGACACTTAGGGTCCGAGGCCAATAAATTACTCCCCAGCGCTAAGACTGAAGGGAGGTTTGCTGAGCCGGACACTTAGGGTCCGAGGCGAATGAATTACTCTCCGGCGCTGAGCTTGAGGGGAGGTTTTCTGAGCCGGATCCTTTGAGTCCGAGGTGAATAAATTACTCCCCGGCGCTGAGCCTGAGGGGAGGTTTGTTGAGCTGGACACTTAGGGTCCGAGGCGAATGAATTACTCCCCGGCGCTGAGCCTGAGGGGAGGTTTGCTGAGCTGGACACTTTGGGTCCGAGGCAGGTTGGTTTCTCCTCGGCGTTGGGCCTGAGGAGAAGTTTGCATATATATATATATATATATATATATATATATATATATATATATTCTTCTCTTTTTCTCTTTTTCAAACAACTTATCATGACGCCGAGGACTCAAAAATGATAGGAGGCCAAGAAAGCGAGTAACAATGGCTATGAAGTTTCCTATTTGTTTACTTTGGAGACTTTCCTCCATTAATACTCCCTTCTTAGTAACCAAATGTAATGGACTGCGCATATATTAACCACATTTCTTTTCTATTTTTATCCGACGTGGGACATAAACTAAATTTTGTCAAAAAGGTCAGTGTAAGGAATGCCTCTAGTATTGAGCTTGACAGCTTTTAATACCAGTAGGCCCTCCTTACACCGCAATCAAATATTTAAATATTCCCATATATAACAGAATGTAACTCACACTTTTTTGTCGATGTGGGATAGAGAGTTTTAACCATAGGTCAAAACACATGCTTTTTAATAACTTGCTTCCAACATTGCTTTGCATAAAAGCATAAAATTGCATAATCACAGTGTAGTACGAAAATTTGTTTGCATAAAAATTGCTAATGCATAACGCGACGCAAAATTGCATAATCATAGAATGTTGCTAATGCATAACGCAATGCAAAATTGCATAATCATAGAATGGTGGTATGGCCCCCATTTTTATGGAAAGAAACAAATGGAATAGAAGCAAAATAAAGAAAAACTTGGCTGACTGTGGGTATACGCAGCCTTATTTGTGAAGAATTCTTAATAAAATTGACCAACTTATCTAATGGAAATACCTTTTAAGGTGTATTGCATTCCAAGGACGCGCAATGGGACGTCCATCAACTTCGGCCAAACGATATGCTCCCTTCCTCACTACTTCGGTAACCCTGTAAGGTCTGGTCCAATTAGGTTCCAGTTTCTTTACATGAGCTGTCTCTTGCTTCAGAACCCAATCGCCTACCGCAAAGCTCCTGAATCTGACACGTTTTTTATAATTGTTGCGCAGCTGCTGCTGATATGAAGCAAGCCTAATTACTGCAGCATCCCTTTTTTCATCCAGGAGATTGAGACTATGTTCGAGCTGCTGACTATTGTTTCTTTTAAGCAACAAGGATGTCCAAAGGGTTGGAATTGCCGCTTCGGTTGGGATCACAGCTTCGGATCCATAAGCCATAACAAGGGGATTCTCTCCCGTGGGCCGCCGTGGTGTGGTTCGGTACGCCCAAAGCACCTGAGGGAGATTCTCATACCATTTTGTTTTGAGTTTCTCCAGCTTCTTCTTTAAACAACTGAAAATGGTTCGATTAGTTATTTCAACCTGTCCATTCCCTTGTGGATGACTGACTGCAGCTAGCTTTTGTACAATTCCATGCTCAGCGAAGAATTTTCTTGTACTTTTATTGTCGAGGTTCTTACCATTATCCATCATAATAACTTTTGGGACCCCAAATCGGCAAATGCTGTTGTTCCAAAGGAAACTTTTTACCTGCTCATGGGTCACACTTGAGTAGGCCTCGACTTTTACCCATTTAGTAAAATAATCTGTAGCCAATAGCACGTACTCCTTTTGTTCCACGGTCTTGGGTAAAGGGCCCACCATATCAATCCTCCATTGTGCTAATGGCCATGGATTTGCCATTGGATGCAAATCCTCAGCAGGTTAATGCTTCATGGGACCATGGCGTTGACATTTGTCACATCTCCGAGTATACTCTTCTGCATTCCGGGCCAAGTTTGGCCAGAAGTAGCCTTAAGTTAGAACTTTATGTACAAGGGATCTACCCCCAGAATGGTTACCGCAATCTCCATCATGGATTTGTTTCAACACCACAAGAGCCTCAGTAGGGCTTAAACATTTCAGGTAAGGACCTTAAAATGACTTCCGGTATAACTGGTTGTTAATGATGGCATATTTAGCTGCGGTGAGTCGGAGCTTCCGTGCTTCGGGCTTCTGGTTTGGAAGAATTCCATGCTTGAGGTAGGCTTCTAGTGGATCAATCCAGCATAGTTCTCGAGGAATAATTGGAATCACCATTACTTCTTGCTGAGGGTTAATGCTGGGCTCGTCCAAGACGTCAATCGGCATAATCCGAGTCGGATCTTCATTTGAGGATGACGCTATTGTGGCTAATTGATCTGCTTCGGCATTCTCAACACGAGGTACCTGACAGAATTCGATTTGATCGAATCCCCGTGTAACATTCTCTATAGCTTCTTTATATACTTTCATTCTTTGCTCTTTGGGATGGTACTGACCTGTCACTTGATTTATAACAAGCTGTGAGTCACTAAAAACCTTTAAACAACATACATTGAGGCTGTTGGGCAATCGAAGACCAGCAAGTAACGCCTCGTACTTGGCCTTATTGTTCGTAGCAGGGAATTTTAAGCAAATAGACTGTTGTAACTTGGTGCCTTTGGGTGTTGACATAACAACCCCTACCCCTACACTTGTTTGACTCAAGGAACCATCGACCCGAAGCTCCCACTGTGGTTCAGGGGGTTCCGGCTCTTCGGGAGTGTCTTTATATTCGAGAAGAAAGTCTGCTACGGCTTGTCCCTTGTGCGACACCTTCGGCTCATAAGTTATGTCGAAGGAACTGAGCTCGATTGCCCATTTGGTAATTCTCCCAGATAGATCGGGCTTAGAGAGTATACCCCGTATAGGATAGTTGGTGAGTACCACAATGCTGTGAGATTCAAAATAATGCCGAAGCTTCCTCTTGGCATAGACCAAAGCTAAGATGATTTTCTCTGCTTTGCTATATCGCGTCTCCGCATCTGTCATTTTCTTACTTGTGTAGAAGACTGGATGTTGCCTCTTTCCTTCATTTCTAATCAATGCTACACTTGTCGCTATACTAGAAATCGTCAAATACATAATAAGAACCTCCCTGGGTTTTGGAGCGGATAGAATTGGTGGTTCGGCCATGTAACCTTTCAACTGATTGAGGGCCTCTTGCTGCTGAGGTCCCCATATATCTTTATTCTTAGATCTTATAGCATCGAAGAATGGTTTGCACTTATCTGACAATCGGGATATAAACCGGCTGAGGGCTGCGGTCCGACCGGTAAGAACTTGTACCTCCCTGCGATTTTTTGGTTCCTGATTCTGGATGAGGGCCTTAGCCTGAGCTGGACTTACCTCTATCCCTCTTCTATTTACTATGTGGCCGAGGAATTGACCCGATGATACCGCAAAAGAGCACTTGGATGGATTTAACTTCATGTTGTACTTCTTCAAGGTATTAAAAACTTCCTGGAGATGCTTCGGATGGTCCTCCTTCTTCACACTTTTGACCACCATGTCAGCTATATATGCTTCAACTATCTTTCCCAACAGATTATCAAAGATCTTATTGACAAGACGTTGATAAGTAGCTCCAGCGTTCTTCAGTCCAAAGGGCATGACCCTGTAACAACAAGTCCCCTTTTCTGTAATGAAAGCCATTTTTTCTTCATCTTCAGGGTTCACAGGAATTTGATTGTATCCCGAGAATGCATCAAGGAATGTCAGCCTCTCGTAGCTGGTGGTAGCATTAACCATCTGATTTATCTTGGGTAGAGGGAAGCTATCTTTAGGGCAGGCTTTGTTAAGGTTGGTATACTCTACACAAACCCTCCACTTTCCATTCTTCTTCTGTACGACCACCACGTTTGACAGCCACTGTGGATATTGCACTTCTCGAATGAAACCTACTTGTAACAACTTGTTTACTTCTTCAGCTATAATGCGATTGCGTTCGGGGGCAAACCTTCAGTGCTTCTGTTTAACCAGTTTAAACTCCGGATTCACCTTCAGACTATGGCAGGAAACTAAAGGATCAATCCTTACCATGTCCGAGTGACCCCATACAAAAGCATCTGCATTGCTCCGAATAACATTAATTAACGCCTCCTTTTCTTCAGACGTGGAGGAAGAGCCTAAATAAGTGACCTTCTGAGGGTTGCTGAGGATAACTTCCACGGCTTCAAGGGTTTCCTCGGTGGGCTTCGCAATTTCCTCTTCCTCCTCTACCTTGAGATACCTGGGCAGAGGGCTCTGTAATTGCTATTTGGGTATATTTTTGGAAGCCACACCTGGTTGTTGCTGAGTAGACACCTTTTTTGCTTCAGCCTGTGTCAACATATAGCATTCCTTCGCAGTGACTTGATCACCCCATAGATTAATCACTTCTTTTCCATCCGGAGATAAGCACCGCATCACCTGGTGAAGGGTGGACGGAACTCATCTCATCCGGTGTATCCAGCCTCTTCCCATAATAAGATTATAAGAAGAATGAATCTCTGTTAAAACAAAGTTCTCCTTCAGAGTCCTTTTCGCCGCAGTTACGGATAAGTCTATTACTCCCAAGGGATCTACTCTTATGCCATCGAATCCCATCAACGAGAGGTAGGTCGAATTGATGATGACGGGATCTCTAGCTGCTCAAAGACCATCTTTGTGATAATGTTGGCGCTACTTCCTAGATCTATCAAAACCCTCTTGATCATACAATTGGCCACTAAAAGACTAATGACCAATGGATCCTCGTGGGGGAGTTGAACTCTGGATAGGTTGCCATATCCGAATCCAATATTGATGCTACCCGAAGCGATAGCATTGACTGAGGATATCTTCCTGAGCTTGTGGGCTGCCCTCAATCTGAATCTGTATACCCCCTCGGACTCTTGATCATCTTCAGACCTGCCATGTATTGTATGAATGAATTTTACTTGCGTACCTTCCACCTTGTAGGGATAGACCTCGCGGGGCTTTGCATACTCCTTTTTCATGAGGTAATCCGCCAACTCACCTCTGGCGATCATATTCTCCACCTGTAGCCTAAGGGATCTGCAATCATTGGTTGAATACCCATAATCTCGATGATAAGCGCAATGCTTGCTTTTGTCCCTTTGCTCCAGGGGTTGCTTTATTGGCTGCGGAGTTGTGAACTTCATCTTATTCTCTTGGAAGAGCCGAGCCAAGGTAGTTCGAAGAGGTGTAAATCCTTCCTCTACCCTTTGCCTCTTCTCAGGTGCCTGGGTGATCGGCGTTGAAGAACGTTAGCTTTTCTGAATCTTTGAAGTTGGAATTCTTTCTCGAGGCTTGTTCTCCACCGTCATGAGGGTGGCGTGCTGCGCTCGGTGGGCTATATTTTCCTCGAGCCGAATGTAGATCTGGGCCCTGGCATTGAGAGTCTGCATGTCGGGAGGAGAATATTTGACCAAGGAAGTGTGGAACTTTATCCCCTGAATCATCGTAAGTTTAAATGTCTCTATAGCAGTTGCGGGATGACAATCTGCTATTTCTGAGGCTTCCATGTTGAATCTTGATAAGAAATCCTCCAATGTTTCCCCCTTCTTTTGCCTTACGGTGAAAAGGCTGGCAATGCTCTTCTTTTGCTTCTTATTTCCGCAATACTATGCCAGGAACATGGTGCACAGAGTTACGTAATCCGGGATGGACTTATGCAGTCTATTCCTGAACCACTCTAGTGCTGCTCCTATCAAGCTAGTAGGAAAAACTCTGCACATCCAAGGGTCATTACGATCGTCCAAAGCCATCTTTTGAGCGTAATGATCTAGGTGCCGAGAAGGATCCCCCGTTCCATCAAATTAGGTGAAAGAAGGCATGGTAAATTTCTTGGGCCTCTCAACCAGATACACATCGTCAGTGAAAGGAGTTTAAACCAAGGAATTTTGTATTCTCTAGCCATCTCAGCAGGTGTCTAAATTTTTAGGAGTCTTTACTCATCAAAGGCATCCTGAACACCTGCACCATCTGGGATTCCATTAGACCACACCGTGAGGTTATGGCTGGATTCGACTTGCTCATCCTGCATGCGATGAGGGATGTTGTCTGAAGCCGCAACCTCGGATCTTGCCCTCCGTTGTTGCTGAACCTCATTCGGCTGAGCCTCATTAGGTCGTGCCCCATTAGGTGGAGCCCCATTAGGGGGAAGCCTGGTAATCGGAGGAATATTCTGATTAGAGGGTGTTGCTGTGTCACCCACCGGTGGCAGTGGTGCCAACTGAGCCATCACCGTTTGCAGAGTGTTATTCTGCTATTGAAGCAAGGCGATCTGAGCCACACTTGCTTCATTTTCCTGACGAAGTACGTCAAACTGGTGTAGAAACTCTTCACGCATCTTTTGCATCAACTCCGTCTGTTGATCTGTTGAAGATCCTCCGTTCGACATTCTGGATGGTAGTTGCAGGACTCACCTGTGAAACAAGAGTGGGAATATCTTTGGAAACGTTTCCCACAGACGGCGCCAAAGTGTAAGTGCAAAATTTCGCTCAACCAATTACGATCGAGAGAAAATAATACAACACACTCAACAAACAATAAGAATAAACAAGAACAATGCCTATTGAAGAATTGAATTGCTTGGATGATTTTGGGATCCTTTTATTGGAGGTCTTGGCCTCTATTTATACACAAAAGATAATAGAATTATAGTAAGACTAGCATTGCTTGTCCTCCAATCCTTTCCATGTATGACTTTCTTTACAATTAGAGTTCTTTCCATTGAAGAATTTTCTATGTACAGAACTTGCCCTGTGTAAAATTTCCTTCCATGGTAAATCCTCCTATTGGCAGGATTTCTTCATAACTAGCTGGGCTTTGAATAATGGGCCGTATGCTAGATATTAGCGAATGGGTTGATATCCTCTTGATCCGGCCTGGATAAAGGTCTAAAGGGCTGATAACTGAGACCCTAGGCTGAGAATACACTCAATTTGGGCTTGAGTGTGATGGGCCTTTGGAAGACAGATTTGCATCTGAGATGACGTGGAGTAATTTCATTGGAGGGGATTTTTTCCCTCCACATATATATATTGAGACAGTTTGTTTTGTAACAAAATCTGAAAATCTGGAATAAGTAGCTTGTGTGACCATTTAGAATGTTTTTAATGTTGAATTTTATATTAAACTATTTATTGTCCATTTTTTTTTATAAATCTTTTCAATAATTATATAATTGTAGTTGATAAAAAAAAAAAAATTAAATTGAGAAGAATTTCTGGTCTTAAACGGGGCAGGGCGGGTACCCGCTGGGGTAAAGATGTTAAACAGAGGCAGGGATGGGGTGGAAAGTCCCCCAGTTTTGCGATTTTGGGCGGGGACGGGTGTGAGGTTTTTAAATGGTTGCGGAGCCAGGGAGGGTACACCCACCCAAACTCGCCCTTATTGCCATCTTTACTAGGGATGCCAATTTGCCCTGCCCCCGCGGGTACCTATAATAGCCCTAATTTTAAAAGGATAGTCTCGGTAGTTTATTTTACGGTTTTATGGTAATTTTTGCATTCTTATGTGTTTTTTTGGTTGTTTGCTTGGTTGTGTTACATTATGGTTAATTAATTATGTTAAATTGCCGTATTTGTTCTATTTTAAATTGCAGCAGTTGTTTTGTTTAATTATTTGATTTAATCGTTTCTTTACTAGCCTTTATTGTTCTCTTTTAATTATTGCTAACTGGTTTAATTAAGTATTAATTGAGTTATTGTAATTGTTTAATTATGTAAATTAGTTAAACGAGTTTTTAAAAATACATTACTTAACTAGGGTTCTCTAAGAAGTCAGTTTGTGTAGCCAACATGGATCAACTTAAGTTGTGTTCTACGGTCCGACTCGGATGTAATTAGGGTTCCATCTCTAATCATACAGGGAATAGGGTTTTAGTCAAGTCTATATATATAGAACAGTATGTCGACTTAGGGTTTTGAGAATACACAACCCCTATTCACGTACCAAGGTTGCAGAGAGAAAGAGAGAGAGGTTTTGAGAAAATAGAGCACGTTTGGTGAGGGTTTCGACTGCGGCTTAAGGGTCAGACCTAGGAGAAGGGAGAGCCGGAGTAGTAGGAGGCTTGACGGTGTTCAGTATTGCCAAAAACTTAGAGACGACGCCGAGATTTCGTTACTGAAATCAAAGGCAAGTTCTTTTCTTCCTCTTTCCTGTTGGCTTGTGTTCTGTGCACCTAAATGATCTCTAGGAGATTATTTGGACATTAATTGAACCATGCATGACTATTATATGTTAAATTTGATTATCTGTTATCTGTGTAATTTATCTGAAATAATTCTATTATGTATGGTTTCATCATCCCTGTTTTAGCGTAAAAAGTCGCTACTGTTTTAATCTTGTATTGAGCCTTACTGCTATAAACCAAGGTTTGAATTAATACTAGATGAGATTTAAGACCCTTAAGTTCAATTTAGAGGAAGAATAGTAAGGTTGGAATGGTCAGAGACGGAGCAGATTGACTGAAACGGAGCCAAACGGGACTGAAAGCTCTCAGATGAGGTGAGAGCCGGCTCCATGGAAGTGGGAGCCGGCTCCCACACTCTGAGAGCCAGCTCCAGGATGCATGGAGCTGGCTCCATGTGCAAAAGAGCCTGCTCCCAAGTTCGTGGAGCAGGCTCTCTCCAATTTACACTTTCTGATATATATTTTTTTTACGCACTGTTGGTACAGTTTGAGCATGGGAACTATTCTAATGGTTCTGGGTCTTCACAGAGGGATTAAGAAATTGATTTTGGGTGTTATTAAGACCTTAAGTTGATTAAATTTGATCTCTAAGTCAATGGGACAAACAGTATAAAATTAATAAACTTTCTATGCTGTTAACAGATAGAAGAGAAACAAATTGCTTAATTAAATTTCAGCAATTTAATAGGATTTAGTATGTTTATAAAAATTATTTTAAATGCATGATAGGGTCATTTATTTATTTGTTTTGATCCATGCATGCTCTGGATGTCAATTGTTGAAATATTTAACCTTTTCTACAATTGCATGGATTAACGCTTGGATTGTAGTTGCTAAAATATTAAACACTTTTCTGCAATTATTTGGATTATGATTTTGGACTGTAAATTGCTAAACTATTATTTATGTGTTGTAATTTACATAGATATGGAGGATTGTATGCACCGATAGGGGACGGTGGCATACTAGGGACGGTTTAGCTCAAAACGCTAAGACCTAACCTACTGGATGAAAGGAATGGATTGTGAAATATTGAATCCTATTTGTGTTTAAGTCAAATCAACTGACTAAGTTGAATGATTTCCTGGATTAGTTGGTTGTAGTTAAGTCATATTAACTGAATAAGTTGAGTGACTAACCGGACTGTGTTTTGTATGTCACCTCAATGAATAATTGAATGACATACTCTGGTTTTGGGATGGACTTTAGATATATGGTTATGGTACCACGAGATGAGCTTGAGTCTCAAGCTCATTGATTAGGGTGCGTATATGCAGTGGATGCGTAGCTGGCTATGGTAGGTTGAGGTGTACCCTGTTAATTCGAGAAAACTCCGATTGGCCGGATATTATCGTAGGTTCATCCAGGGGTTCTCCAAGGTAGCGGGACCACTCACTCATCTGACCAAAAAGGGTGTACGGTCTGTATGGGATGAACACTATCAGCGAGCTTTTGATGACCTAAAGATTAAGTTGACTTCTGCACGGGTTCTGTCTTCTCCACAGAGCGGGGTTGAATATCTTGTCTACATAAATGCTTCTTTGCAAGGTCTTAGGTGTGTTTTGATGCAGGAGGAGTGACCGATTTCATATGGATCTCGTAAGCTTAAGCCTCACGAGCTTAATTATCCAACACATGATTTGGAGTTGGCAATTGTGGTCTTTGCCTTGCGCATTTGGAGGTATTATCTGTTGGGTGAGTCCTTCAAATTATTTAACGATCACAAGAGTCTGCAGTATTTGTTCACTCAACGGGAGCTGAATATGAGACAGCGCTGATGGTTAGAGTTTGTGAAAGACTATCATTTTTCTATACAGTACCATCCTAGGAAAGCGAATGTAGTGGCAGATACACTCAATCACTGACTTGTTGGTAGTCTTTCTGCTTTATTCAGCACTGAGTGGAATGCTTCGAAGAAGGTGGATGAGTTGTTGGATGCTTTCGTGGCTTGCATGGTAATTAC